GTATGTTGATATTATTTTTTAAAAGTTCTGTTAAGTTGATTATTAGTTTAATTACTCTAGTCTATTTTTTAAAATGTTTTATTTTCAAGTGTTTTGATTGTTTTCCTTGTACAGGATTAACATGTAGCAGACAACAGAATATTGATTTTGAAAATAAAAAGAAAAGATGTGTTATTTAAGAACCATTTTCTGCTACTTGAATAGCACAAATACATTGGAATTCAATCTTTAACTCTCTGGTGCTGGGGCATGTCTGTGGAAGTGTGATCAGACGTTGAGCTTTGCTCCCCTTGTCCACAAACCTGTTTTTCCTCGACCCGAGTTCAATCTGCAGCTCCTTCATGTTGCCAGCTTACAATGCCACCCTTAGTTTGGCTTAGTTCATGTGTAACTATATCCACAGACTACCATACGTCCTCAGCCATGCACCAGCCACAGGGAGGAGATAAATTGCTTAAATCCGAGTCTTTAGGGGATAAAGCCAACATAAAAAGAAAAATTCAGGGGTAGAATATGAATGGAGAGTAGTAAAAGGGGTCTAAAATCTTACATTATGGTTTGATTATGAATTTATTTTTAAAGATTGTATCTGTGCAAGAGTCTTTGTTCTTTTTTGAGTCTTGCCATGTCTTGCCATCCTAGGAAAGAAGAAGAAAATATTAGGAGGATGGGAAATACAGTGCTGTGCATGCTGAGGAAATGCTTATATAAATAAGGTTTTGAGTTTATGGTGGTGATGTCTGGTATTTACTGTATTTCGTGTTTATGAGGAAAGGGAATTGATCTTGTCTTTTTTGTGATCCTTTTTTTATTTTTGCCGCCTGATGTGTGTAAATTTTTTGTAATTTCGGAATGTCTGTCTTTTTGTAAGGCTTTTCTAAATTTGAGTAAACCAGGTTATAGTGCTAAATGTGAGAAAGTATTACTAAAAGTTATTTCTGATTGTTGTGACTTGTTTCTTCATGCAACTGTGTATTGGCTATGATAAACAATGGCAATGATGCTGTGTGACACATAATCCAGTTCTGTTGTAACCACAGTAATTTTCTTCAATCTCACTGTTTCTTCCTTTCACTCATTTGGTTCTTAATCATTTGTGAGACAGAGAAACACTAGGTGTTTGTTGCCATACACTAAAGCTAAGGGTGTGTGTTGAGGGGACAAAAGAAGCGATAGCATGGGAGCTAAATGTTATGAGTTCTAAGCCAAATGTTATAAGAGTTCCTGACCATTTTACAATGTTGGTGTAAGATACCAAGAAATTCAACCAATTATTCAAGTTTTGCCTTCCTGAAACATATACTTTTTATATTTTGACCCCTTCGATCCGGATGACGTGACCATCGCATTGTGAAAAATTTGGCTCTAGGGGTGGGTGATGTGAAAATACAGGGTAACGTGAACTTGCTGTTGTGAGCATTTTGGTTGAAGGCTGGGGATGACAGGAAAGACTCGCCAAAGTTCAGAGGGTGATTAGACTCATTTGGCAATTTGAAAGCGGCTTTTTCATTAACCCATCAGCGACGGGTAAAAATCTTGTCAAGTTTACGTACGCACTGGCTTGTTGGCGCACACCAGCAGTTTCCCCTGTTTGCGCCCGGCTCGATCAGTAGTTTGCAAGCGACATATAGCACCTAAAAGCTTTTATTTTGCTAAAATTTATAAAAATATTAAAATTTTGAAGGTTTACCTTCACTTTAGGTGCCATTGCCTAAAATCTTTACCATATAAATGAAGCCACTACTAGTGGAGAAAAACAACCTCTGTCCGACAAGCCAGTAGCTGCGAAATGGGCATGGCATGATGCCTCCGGCGTTTGGTCCGCAGGCGGAGGTTGTGTTACAAAAAAAAAAATAAATATTACAAAAAAAAAACAAAACAAAAAAAGCAAGATAAATAGATTGCAGCTTATTGTAATTATTTCTGTACTGAGTTATGGACTACCTGAAGAAAAGATTTGGAGTCTGTGCAAGGAAACCAGTCTATTACTATTTGGATAAAGCAGATCAGAAGACAAATGTAGATATTAGAAAATGGCATGAATGCTTAAAACACAGCCAAAAAAAGATAAAACAACATTGCAAAGGGGAGCCATGGTGTGTTTGCGTGTGCCTAGCCTACAAGCTGCACACCCGTCAGAGTGGCCTCTCACGTAACCCTAATGCCTATATTTTGGCCATATATAGTGAAGCATCCGGATCCAATGGGTTAATTACTTCCTGCATTAGTGAATGGCCCATATGCTAATGTTCTGAACGTGTTAGTATTTTAGCAGATTCCAAATTATGACTTGATTCTACATTGGATATGGTGTATTTAGAGTAATTGATGACCTGCTTTTATATATGCATTATATATTTACCATCAAGTTGGCCTCACATTTTGAAAATATTGAGGATGTATCTTCCAGTGAATCGAAGTATGTGTAGCTCAGAAAACTTTATAAGGTTATTGCTAGAAGTTTACATTTGTAGTACTAAGAAGTTTATTCCATTGTTTA